TTGAACAACAACCATCTGAAAGTCCCCGCGTTTAGCTTAAATGTGTGTAGACCATCCAATGATATTGATGAAGCTTCTTCCTGGCCAAGAATTACTGAAGAAATACTGGTATGCTGTTTGTCGTCGATCCCCAGGTTGTGACCAGCACCTCTCTCTTAAATACAGCACCCACAGTCTTGGTCGCAACGGATGTGTAAGACTATCTGTTTTCATGGTAAGTCGAGTAGTAGCGTTCGTCGCACACGTTGTAAGAGGCCTGCAACCGAACCAGAACGGTCGTTGAGAGATAGGCCGCAATATCCCTCTGCTCGCGAGTCATCGGAAACTACAGTAAAATACCATGTTCGTTTGCAGTCTACACAGCCACCGGTTCGCTGTGTTTCGTCAATGACATGCCAACAAAAATTTCGAGCATGCACACACAATAACGTGAATTCTAAAAGCCTACAGAGGGCGGTCTGGTATGCATGGCATATAGACTAGATAGACTAGTTGGACTGAAGATAGATATGGATGAGATACGTACTGGTGGCATCACATGGAGAGAAAAGTAGCATGCCCACCGTGGGAATCACACACGTGGAAGTCACGCAAGGCACATCACATCGAATAGTAGCCCGTGCATGGTGTCTCTTTTCGCCATGTCGTTCCTGGTTCGCCCGGTGTTGGGTTGCGGGTGCTTACAGTCAGAGGCTGTAGGCAGAAGGTTGCCTCAACGCCTTTGTTTATTGTCGAGTAAACAGCAGGATAAGAAACCCTGAACACCAAAAGGGGGTACGCCCTTCCAGTAACACATACCAACATGACACACGAAACCCCCTGCATCTCCAAGATCCGTATCTAGTGCTGAGTATACCCAACACCCGGTGCCTTTGCCTCTCTCTGTTGCCTGTCCTGAAGATAGTCCGAGATCAACGAATGTATTCCACGAAAGGTACGTTGAGATGGCACTGGGTGCGATCGTTATGGTGTTACAATGCGTTTTGTCCACGTGTTGTCTTTTGCCCCCCGGCGTGCGATCTCTCCGACTAATAATGTCTTGCAGGACGCAATAGGGAACCTCTGCATTACGGGACCTTTTTCGTAAACAGTGCAAGGGGAACCTCTGCATTAGGGAACCTCACCCCTACCAACGTTGGGGGAACGCTGCATTGCTGTCGCTGTTGCGGAAAAGGACACGCGCTGTGTGTAGCTTTTAATGTTTATCAATGGAAATTCTTGCACTGGTCTAGTGCCGCCGCCCTCTCTGTAAAACGTTGAACGAGGGCTACTTGGTGAGGAGCAGGGATAGTCCCACTTGCGGTTGTTGTACCCTTGATGTAATGAACGAGCGGCCCCGCTTCCAATTCTGACGTGAGGCTCCCTATTGCAGCGGCTGTTGAATGCGAAATCGTACAGAACGCGCCACCACTTCGGAACCGCTTAATTTGCGTGAGGCTCGACGCTTGCTTGTTGGTTGCCTCAAACCGAGCACATGCTCGTATTTTCCAAGTTCTTGTTTAGAGCAAGCATCCCCGTAGGATAAACGAAGTTCTTGTTCTTATTGTTTCGCCGATTACCCCATGCAGAAGACACAGGCAGGTCGTTCCGATGGATGAGTGAATTTCAAGAGTATGATAGCTGTTTGACGTCAGCACTATAACCGGGCACCCTGCCCCCCCCTCCGCGCGAGACGCATCGCAGCTAAAATGGCAGTAGCACCGTATGTATGATCGGAGAGAGGTTGCCGAGAATAGCTTGGCAGGCGAAAAAGGCAAAGAAGAAAATGGGTAGACAACTCACGGAGTGGTAAAGGGTGTAGGCAGATTACGTAAAAAGGAGTTCGAAATCGATAAATATTTTGGAAACGGTAGGCCTAGAGGGGTCAATAAAAATGGATGTGTCGCTCTTGCCGAGAGAGAAGAACATAATCTAACCAAAGACACCAAGGATAAGGAGGGTTTAGACGTGTACGGAATGCTGAAAGAAGGATTAGGGTTAAGAAATACCTACAACATGATGCAGGGACAACTCTGAAAATCAAATTTATTTAAGACTGGGGACAATACGGTCTTCGAGAACGTAGACAAAGATTTCGGAAGGCAGACGGTGCCCTAATTATTGCAGCGGCTGTTGAATACGAAATCGTATCCCCATTTGGGTAGGCACCCCCCGCAAATTTCAGATTGAGGTTCCCTAATAATGCAGTGACTGTTGAATACGAAATATGACATATCCCCTTACCGCGGTGCGGAAATGCAATATGCAATTGATTGGTATGGCAATGTGGCAATGTATGTACTTGATTTTGTAGCGCTTTTTCAGGACACCCTGGTGCCATCTCCCCGACTCCGGTGGTCGTGCGGAAATAATGCAATTTCATTGATTTCGAGGTTTGTTCAAGGTACAGTATAGTGCCGGCCCGCACTTAAGAATACGGCACTTAAGAATACGGCTCAAGAAATCCCAAACATAAGGATTTGCTGATAAGAACACGTGCTCAGACTACACGTCCTGTTAAGAACAAGAACACACACCTGAGGTGCACCACATAAGAACAACAGCAATGCAGCGGCTGCCAGATATTCGCAGGGGGCGGGGACGGAAGAGGGGGGGTGATCCCAGTAGTATTGGATTTGGGAGGGGGGCAGGTTGTTTAGGGTGGCAAATACATACCTAACATTTGTATTCTTGTCAGAGGGGGGGAAGGCGGGCACTGTACACGTCGTGCCCCCGGGTGCCCCCAAAACGTGCGGCATGCCACGCAACGTGCAGTGTGCCACGAGCGCTCAATTCCAGCTGTTGGAGCGTTGGAATGTGGATCAAGTACCTTTGGCATTCGTAAACCGGGTGATCGACACGTGGGACAAGAGAGGTGCGTTGCGGGTAGAAATCTCGCAGCCCTTTCCTGGCCTAGAGAAAAGGCAGTGCACCATGCAGGAGAAAGTCGCGTACCGCGAGGAAGTGGACCAGTTTTTCCAGGAAAATACGTGAGCCGACCAAAAGTCCCTGATGCGCGGGCGGGGTGAGCTCCCCAAGGCGAGGTCCATTTTTATCATGGACAACTTGCACGCGTAGACAAAGGACGATTTCAAGGAGTTCCTTGCGAAGCAATGTAACACTCTTGCCTGGAATGGCCCTTCGGAGTGCACGGACGAGGTGCAGCCAGTTGATGCAGGAGCCGGGCGATTTCTCAAGGTGGAGGTTGGGAGGCAGATGGACATATGGCTCGAGCAGTCAGTGGGATATTCTCGGGAGGTGGGAAACCGCGTCGCTGATAGCTTCTGATCGGCGGGTACTGATCACTCAGTGGATGGGAGCGGCCATGGCAAGACTCAACAGCCAACAGGCATTCCGATACCGCCTTTCCGAAAAAGTGCGGGATGGCCATGACCGTGGACGGCTCAGGCGATGATCGAACCACCTTGGAGGGTCTGGACAAGTCGTACACCTTCTTCGCAAACGATGAAGACAGTAGCGAGGACGAACAAGGTTCGGAGAACGGCACCGATGAGCCTGAGGGGCGGGGGTAGAAGGGCGATGGAGGATGTGAGACGGTCGTGCAGGGCGCTGACTCCAGCGATTAAGACGACGGCGGTAATTTGTTCTGCACTAGGCCCACTCTTGATCATTCCCTTTGTTGATGACGATGTCCTTCATGTTGATGTTTGCTTGTGTTCTTGCTGATGTGCTGTTTCCGCCCACGACTACGAACTAATGGTGATAGGTTCATGTTGAGATATGGCGGCGTGACACCCTAGCTTCTGGTCGTGTTTCCCGGTGCCTCGTTCGCAGACACGTCTCTACCCCAGACCGACGAGCTAGCTCTTCTGGGCGACGACGACAAGAGGGACCCACAAGACCCGGAGGACGAGATACAGGGAATGGAGATCCCGGCAGGCTTTCGTATTCAAGAAGCTAAACCCGTTGCCCTTGACAGATTGCTTTTTTTGCGGCGTGGCGTGCTTGCTAGGCTGGGGATGGGTGTGCTTTGGAGGGTTGATCACTCAACAATCTCAGAAGGACACTCGCCACCTGTACGATTACTCTGTTCAGCTGGAGCTAGACCAGAGTACGTGCAAGATGAAGTTGCCCTTAGACAAGTGCAGCGGAGATCCGGATACGGCTGCAGGCTCCTGGGTTTCGCTTGATTGAGAGCGTTCGTAGATCGGGAAGGGTACGGAGGACAAGCGTCCGAATTGTGGACCAAGAAGGTTGACAGTTGCTGCTCCATGCCTTCGCCTTTTCTTGTACTTCAAAACAAGCAGCAGTGTTTCTCATGGTTGACAGCCGCCAGAGTACGTCGTCGTACGTACGCCAATAGAGCAATCGGTGTCGAATCCGAGTTGAGTTAGGTATTACACGATCAATTGGCGGCGTTGTGGGGGATACGTTCGGTACTGAAATCAGGACTAAAAAAGTTTCACAGAATAGGTGAAATTTGGTGTGCCCTTCCCTGGAAGCATTGCGAGAAAAATGATGGTAGTCGCAAGGCTCACATNCGCCTTTTCTTGTACTTCAAAACAAGCAGCAGTGTTTCTCATGGTTGACAGCCGCCAGAGTACGTCGTCGTACGTACGCCAATAGAGCAATCGGTGTCGAATCCGAGTTGAGTTAGGTATTACACGATCAATTGGCGGCGTTGTGGGGGATACGTTCGGTACTGAAATCAGGACTAAAAAAGTTTCACAGAATAGGTGAAATTTGGTGTGCCCTTCCCTGGAAGCATTGCGAGAAAAATGATGGTAGTCGCAAGGCTCACATCATCCTCCATCAAAAGTTTATGGCCTCGAAAAGAATTCGATACAAAGCACAAGATAGTTAAGGACATGCGAGGATATCGCAAAATACACACGAGTTTTTTTAGTTGGAATCTGAAATTTTTACGTGTGTTTTGTATTGCTAAAATCAGTACAGCTGCTAGCCGTACTTTGTAATTTTTTTCTTTTTTGGTCCTCCTGTACATAACAGCAGTAGGATTCCCAGTTTCCCTTTAATGGGGCTACCTCATGAAAAGAAAGAAAAAATATTAAGTACGGCTATAGCAGTTGTATTTGTCGTACCAATATGACCCACATGTCAAAATTTCAGGTTCCAACTCGTAAAAATCATGGTGTAGTTTTAGAAGTCTACTGGCTTTCAACCATTTTGTTAGCTTGTTGACTGGCCCAGCCTTGTAGTTGTAAGAAAAAATACACTGAAATGTCTAGTACTCTACATCGGCCGTTGTAAACGGACCGACTTTTTTGTCAAAATTTTCGACATTAGTCTTTCAAAAACTTGGAACCTGTGTGCAGTCATTTTAAACGTGTGACGTGGACTTGTGCAACTTGTGTAAAAAAAAATGACGCCGTCCGTGAGTTGTAGCGCTCACTTCGAGACAACACACACGACACAACACAAACCGCGGAAAACACGACATCATGGACACCGACATGGATATCACGACCACCCAGCGTGGCCGGCAGACCAAAACCCCGGCGAAATTCCAGCAGACGGGCTCTCTCGGTGCCGCCGTAGGCGGTGGAGGCTTGCTCTCCAGCAAGATAGTGCTGCTGCCTGGCATCTCGGGGAACACTCATGTTACCACGGGAGGCGCTGCCGCCACCAACACTCAGAGCGATGGTGGAGCAGGCCGCCGGCGAGGGGTGGCAACCACTGCTCCTACCCCCCCGGGAACAAAGCGGCGGACGAGAAGCAACAACTGCAAGTCATCATGGCGGACCGCCGTTTTTCGGACGACACAGCAACAGCAGACAGCATCGTCAACGTTGGCAACAGCGACGATAGCAATAGCGACAGCGACAGATGACTCACACACAACCCTAGCTGACTTTCTACGGTGAGGGGCACTCGTGGTGCAGACGCAGCAGCCCTCGCGTGCCTCTGCAAGGGTACTTTGGAAAGTGCTCCAAATACTTTGAGAGGGTTGTCAAAAAGTTGGAACGAAGTGGAGCAAAGTTTTCGCGCTCAACTTCGTTCCAAATATTTTTGAAAAAAATGGACAAACGCCTACATACAGGTTCCATTTTTTTGACACTTTCAAAATTTTTGACAAAAAGTCGGTCCGTTTAAAACGGCCCATAGGCTGAAAAGTGTAGTACACGTCTCACCACGAAAAATAGGGGGACTGTCGCCATAATAAACAGGACGAAAACACACACACACACACACACACACACACACACTCCAAGTGCATCTTCCACCAGGTTTGGCTAGAAATATTCAGGCCATCGCCACCGTAACCAACTGGATCCAAGACCACCTGCTGCAAAAAGGCATTGAGCTCAGCCTCCCGAAATCGAAAGTCCTTTTCCCAGAAGGATTATTCTTCTCCTCTTTGACAAACGACGAACAGCGAGATTTGACGAAAACGGGTCTCTCGGTTGCTGAAGGTGGTATGGCCATTGTTGGAGTCCCAGTAGGGACAGAGTGCTTCCAGAGGAGTTTCGTCACCAACTTCGCCCGCGGTAACCCTGCTGAGTTGATACGCCGCCTTTCCACACTTGACGACCCGCAAGCGAGCTACCAACTGCTACGTTTGTCTGGCGTTCCACGCTTGTTTCATCTGCTGAGAACGATTGCACCGAGCATTACCAACACTGCCGCAAGAGAACATGACAACCTGATGATATGGGCAGTAAGCAAGATCGTTCTCGGCAAAATGGCAAACACTGTGGGAATTCCAACCGTGGAAGAGGTACGCGCAAACCCAGAGAAGAGTGAGGTCTACTTCTTCAAAGATTCAGCTCGGGCACAGGTGCACCTGCCCATACGTGAAGGGGGGCTTGGAATTACGAGCAGTGTTCTCATTCGAGAATCGGCTTTTGTGGCAGGGCAAGCATTGTTGTTCTCCAAGTCAGTGCAGGCATCAACAGGACTCACCATTGAACAATGCCTACCGCAACTTGCACAGCTACCAACAGGATTAGCTCTGATTGACTCCCTCAAGAAACTAAAAGAGATCATCACCAAAGACAAGCTCGAAAGAGCTGTTGGTCAGTCATGGACTAAACTTGTTACATCTGACGATTTAACTCCCACTCTTCGAGGGGTTTATCTCATGGAGGCCGGGAAGGGAGTAGCCGAGAGACAAAATGGAGACGACAACCCTGACGAGGAACCACCATCTCCGTCGACATGCGGGCGAAATGAATTTGGCCGGTACTATCAAGTCTTCGGAGCTCAAGCCGTCCTGTCGAAGCCCCTTCATGCAGCAGTCCGCCATATGGTAGTAACAGGCTTGAAAAAAGCAGGATCCCAGGAAACCTCAAAGAAGAGAGCCTTGATTCGCTTGGAGGAAGCAAAAGACAAGGGGGTTCTATCATGGCTGACAACGCAGGGGCTTTCGATGGATGAACGGATGCTACCTGACCTTTATCGAGAATCGATCGGTCGTGTACTGGGGAGTCACGACCGAACTGACTACGATACAGGCAGACTTTGCAGCGCAGGTGCATTGTCATCGTGTATGGAACGGTTGAGCCGACCCCATTCCCTGGTCTGCGCGAAGACCGGCGCCTCAACCTTCCTGCACAATAGGATGGTTCGCGTGCTGTTAAAGACATTACGCGAATGCCACATGCCAATCGCTGTTGAAGACTCTTCCCCATTTACTACAGGCACTGGTAGGGGAAGAGGGCTCTACAAGATGGATTTAGTGATCCCCCCAGGATTACACGCAGGAGATAAAGAAGAGGAACTCTGCACCAAATCCATCCTTATAGATGTCACAGTCGTCAATCCATCTGCTAGGCGAAGTATCGACAAGTCACTCCAAACGCCAGGATCCGCCCTCGAAGATCGAGCTGCAAGTAAGGCAAAACACTATGCGGGAACTTTCAACCCGTCTAGATCTACCCTCCTTACTGCTGCTTTTTCGACGTATGGTGGTCTTGGCAAAGGCACCAATCGACTTATCGTAGCTATCGCCAACCACTTGGCATACGAAGCCATTTGCAAAGGGAATTTCACCGACGAAACAGCCTTGATTCGCCTGAAGGCTTTTCATACGAATAGGATTCGGAGACGATTTACTTTCGAGCTGGCTCGTTTCCTGTCCGTACGAACTCGTGATGTTTTTAAACGTCATGGACTGCTCATGGATCAATTTCCACCCCGGCCAATAGGTTGGGATTTCGATAGTAGTACAAACGAAAACGATCATCATGATGGCGATGAGGGAAATTCGAGTGGCAACGATGAAGGAGGAGGAACAGAGGGAACAAGAGGAGGACAAGACAGAGACCAAGACAGCAGTCGAGAAGGGAATCATGGCGTGGAAGAGAGCAAGAGCTTCGAGCCAGAGGACCTCCCGCACAACAAAAGACGGAGAGACAGACAAGAAGAAGAGCTGCCAAAAAGTTGCTGCCAAAATGACGATGAGAATAGTGATGGTAGTAGTGGTGAAAGCAAGAAGAATGATAGAGAGAGCACTCCTAAACGAAGTCGAGTGCAGGGTGACAGTCTTAGTAGAGACGTGCAGTTTTCTTCTGTTATTGCTACGGTATCTGTCTTTAATCCTGAGAATAGCGTAGCTCCCCCTACGACGCTCGGTCCCGGGGTCCCAGATAGTGGACTATAGAAACATTTTGTGTTTCCCGCCGCACTGAGACTGACGTCTTTTCATTGGTCAGCCGGTTAGCGCGGTCGATGCTAATAATAAAAACACACACACACCATGGATACGAAAGCAGCAGCAGCAGCAGCAGCAGCAGAGCAGTATATACCACTCGGCGTCGTGTGTGCCGGGTTTTGAGGCCACGGGCTCCCCATTTTTTGTGGACTTGACTACTATAGTCTTGTCTAAGTCTAGAGCTAATGTGAAAAACAGAAAGGCACTACATTCGACTATGCAGCAAGGTTGGCTTGCACGCTGTGCTTGGTTGAGTGTGCGGGGTTGGCAACTTCCATAGTCTATTTACCAAACAAGTGAAAGCATCTGACATTCCGCGTGCAAGCTGTGGATACGTGGGCACATGTTGTAGGCTTCGATCACACCGACTCCAAGATAAAAAGAAGGGAAAAC